CAAACAGATGTGGGTGGTATTGGCCGGCACGTGTAAGCAGACTCTCTGACAACCCTGAACCTGACCAGGGCTCTCTCTCAACTGCTTGAAGGCTGGACGGGCTCTATACAGACAAGTGGTCAGATTCCATTGCCGTTGACTCTCTGTGTTCCCTCCTTGTCCTCCAGACATTCTTTTTATTTCTCTCTGTTCAGCACCTCTTTCCCTTCTTTGTTGCTTGTTTGTGTGTGTGTAATGTTTTGTTTTAATTCTTCCTCATTAATCAACCTTTTAAGGATAACATTGAAAAAAGAAGACAAAACATGACCTTTTAAAATAGGTTTTAAAGTTCAAGTTCTCCAGATTCATAAAAGACATCACAACAGGCCAGAAATTAGCTGGTAAAAGAATAACAGCTGGTCCCCTTCACCGCAGCCCAAGCCCAGGATCTTAAAGATGTCACTTCCTTCCTTCCTTTCTTAGTCAGTGGCATACAAAATTCAAGGTAATTCTCAGAAGTAGGTGCCCTTGCAAGCAAGTGTCTTTGATTTTTATGTTCAATTGGCTAATTCTACTCCCTCCTGCCTATCTGTCTAAGTGGGGATGAGTTGAGAACAACAGCAATTAAGCTCTGAAATCACACTGAAAATAAAATCAGCAGGTCTAGTATCATAACACGGAGATTGCTCAGTGTTTTTTATTTCTTTAAATATATTTTTTTATCGATTTCAGATGAGGAAGGGAGAGGGAGAGAGAGATAGAAACATCAATGATGAGAATCATTGATCTGCTGCCTTCTGCACGCACCCTACTGGGGATTGATCCCACAACCAGGGCATATGCCCTTGACTGGAATCGAACCCGGGAGACCTTCAGTACACAGGCGGACGCTCTATCCACTGGGAGATTGCTCCGTGTTTTTTTTTTTATTGCTTAAAGTATTACAAAGAGTATTACATATGTCTTCTTCTTCCCCGACCCCTTGACATTCCCCCGGCCCCCCCTAACCCCCAGTGTCTTATGTCCATTGGTTATGCTTATATGCATGCATACAAGTCCTTCGGTTGATATCTTACCCACCCTTCCCGCCCCCCAACCCTTCCCAGCCTTCCCGCTGTAGTTTGACAATCTGTTTGATGCTGCTCTGCCTCTGTATCTATTTTTGTTCATCAGTTTATAATGGTCTTTAATATCCATAAATGTGTGAGATCATGTGGTATTTTTCTTTCATTGACTGGCTTATTTCACTTAGCATAATGCTCTCCAGTTCCATCCATGCTGTTGCAAATGGTAAGAATTCCTTCTTTTTTACAGCAGCATAGTATCCCATTGTGTATATGTACCATAGTTTTCTAATCCATTCATCTGCTGATGGGCACTTAGGCTGTTTCCAGATCTTCATTATGGTAAATTGTGCTGCTATGAACATAGGTATGCATATATCCTTTCTAATTGGTGTTTCTGGTTTCTTGGGATATATTCCTAGAAGTGGGATCACTGGGTCAAATAGGAGTTCCATTTTTAACTTTTTGAGGAAACTCCATATTGTCTTCCATAGTGGCTGCACCAGTCTGCATTCCCACCAGCAGTGTTCCCTTTTCTCCTCATCCTCTCCAGCACTTGTCGTTTGTGGATTTGTTGATGATAACCATTCTGACAGGTGTGAGATGGTACCTCATTGTTGTTTTGATTTGCATCTCTCGGATGATTAGTGACTTTGAGCATGTTTTCATATGTCTCTTGGCTTTCTGAATGTCCTCTTTTGAAAGTGTCTATTTAGGTCCTTTGCTCATTTTTTGATTGGGTTGTTTATCTTCCTTTTGTTAAGTCGTATGAGTTCCCTACAAATGTTGGAGATTAAACCCTTATCAGTGATAACATTGGCAAATATGTTCTCCCATGCAGTGGGCTTTCTTGTTGTTTTGTTGATGGTTTATTTTGCTGTGCAGAAGCTTTTTATTTTGATGTAGTCCCATTTGTTTATTTTCTCTTTAGTTTCCAATGCCCTAGGAGCTATATCAGTGAAGAAATTGCGTTGGCATATGTCTGAGATTTTGTTGTCTTTGGATTCCTCTAGTATTTTTATGGTTTCCTGTCTTACATTTAAGTCCTTTATCCATTTTGAGTTTATTTTTGTAACACCAAGAAATCTATGGCATTTCTATACACCAATAGTGAACTTACAGAAAGAGAGACTAAAAAAGCAATCCCATTTACCATCACACCAAAAAAATTAAGATACCTAGGAATAAACCTAACTAGAGAGGTAAAAGACCTCTACTCAGAAAACTACCGAACGTTGAAAAAAGAGATAGAGGAAGACATAAACAGATGGAAGAACATTCCATGTTTATGGATTGGTAGAATCAACATCATTAAAATGTCCATACTACCCAAAGCAATCTATAAATTCAACGTACTTCCCATTAAAATGCCAACAGCATATTTCACAGACCTAGAACGAACTCTCCAAAAATTCATCTGGAATTAAAAAAGACCCCAAAAAGCTGCAGCAATCCTGAGAAAGAACAAAGTAGGTGGGATCTCAATACCAGATATCAAGCTGTATTACAAAGCCACTTTTCTCAAAACTGCCTGGTTCTGGCACAAAAACAGACATAGAGATCAATGGAATAGAATAGAGAATCCAGAAATTGACCCAAACCAATATGCTCAATTAATAGTTGACAAAGGAGGCAAGAACATACAATGGAGTCAAGACAGTCTCTTCAATAAATGGTGTTGGGAAAATTGGACAGATACATGCTCTGTGTTTTAATGTACATTTTTTTCTTATATGTATAAGAAGAGAAACAGCTTGCATTCTACATAGCTTCTAGCAAAAAACAAACAAAACAAAAAACAAAAACACACAGTAACAACACAAAAAACAAAAAAACCTGTCCCAACAGAAAGAAAAAACAACAAAATAAATTTAATAATCCATACAGATTATTTTTTTCAAAATAATGGTCTTAAATGTTGATAATGGTTAGTATCTACCTGAATGTCTCAAAATTTCCCAGACATACATGCCTTTCACATTTGTCAATTGAATAGAAAATGCAAGATTACTGAATCAGCCCTTGGGTAGGTTTCTGTATATGGCTTAGGAGGATGTCAACATTTAAGAAATATTAAATTATAATAATGTGTTTCTCATTTTGCCCAGACTTCCAGGAAACTCTGAGATGAATCTGATGCTTAACCCAACGATTATATTAGCTCTTGCCATTTCTTTTGCCTAAGTATAAATTTATGGTTCTCTTTTTATACCTTAGTGTACATTCTTTTATTTGACAAATAGTCTAAAATTCTTTTTGAGAAAAAGGATGTATACTAAGTAAGGGGAACCCATAAAAATGACTTTGATAGCCACTCTTTTCACAGATCACATAATTCACACCCAAGACTCAATCCAACTTATTTCTCATGGGGGGATTCTTGGTTGTACAGAGTTGCTGTGAATGCGGGTGAGATTCTGTTATAAATGTAATCAATAAATGTTATTTGTGAAAAAAAAAATGACATACTGATGATGATCCATGCCATTTCACTTTTTACCTTTAATTAGTTATTTATGTACTTAGTGTAAGGGCCTCATTAGACTAAATTTTCTGAGGGTAGAGCCAGACCTTCTGTGTCCCTGTGTCTCCCAGGTAGTGGGTGCTAAGTAAGATTCTGTTGAATAAATACAGCCTCGGGGTTAATTTTAGAGGCAATAGGATGAGGTTTCCTTCCCCCCTTTTTCATCCCTTTCCTTCTATGCCTTCCTCAGAGTAGAATCTATTGATGTAATCTTTGCACTCAGGCAGCTCTGAGCTAATATATGGGGCCACTTCTACGGGGCTGGATGAGAAATCATTTTCTTCTCTTTTCCCTCTGAAGCCCATCATAAATATTTTTTTCTTTCTCTACAGTATTCTCTCCCTGTTCCTGCATAATACCCAGTAATGTTCTCCTACATAAATAATAACCACTTATATTTACATAAGCATGGGTAACATTGGCACATTCTTTCCCAAAAGGATTTGAAATGGACATCTTAGAGGATTTTTACATTTTACAGAGCACTCTCAGATGCCGCTGCCGCTGTTATCATGTAATATTTATTGCGTACTTACCAGGTGTCAGGCTCTAGGCAAAGGCTTTTTGTACACTATCTCATTTAGTCCTTACAGTAATCCTAGGGCAGAGCTACTGATAGCTCTTTCAATCTGAGGAAGCTGCAAGGCTCTGGAATTTGCCCAAAGAAGCACAGGCAAGAGGGAGCAGGACTGAGATTTGAACCTTGAGCTCCAGCTATCAAACCCAGACTCCTAGCCTCTAAATACAGATAATCCCTTTGGGTCATGATTTCAACCTAGTGAGACAGGCAACGTGGGGTAATGAACTCTGCTGCACACATGAGAGGAAAGAGGAAGCACAATGCTGATTGAATGCTGGAGATGTTCGGGGCAATATACTTTACTCAAAGTGACCCGTTCTGTCCCTCCAGTCATCCTACTGTATTCTACAGTATCTGTATCTCAGACGAGGGAACAGGAGATGTGAGTGTTCAGTTAACTTGCATAGCCACTGGAGCCAGAAGGCAGGATTTCACCCTGGGTCTGTTTGGCTCTAAAGTCCTTCTTTTTTCCACTGTACACGTGGAGAAACTGGCTCAAGTTCACATGATGGGTTACGGAAAAACAACACTGAGTTCATATTCCAACTAGAGTTTGTTCAACTGCCCTTTTTAGGTTCTAATGTCCTTCTGGGGTCAAAAAGTGCAGTGTCTGCCTTGCTCTTGGGGGCGCGGGGAGGATATCTTATTATGACTTGACAAGGTGAATGCAATTGAATTTCCATCTCATTCAGAGCAGAGAGAGAATAGCTTTGGGAACGAGGCTAGTTTGAAACAAGGGTTCCCGAGGCTAATTAAAAACTAGGCTGGAGCTGTGCTTTTCATTCCTTAAGAATGTTCGACCTCATTAAATAGAAAAAAAGCAAGTGGAATTTTCTGATTTTTTTTCTTTCAGGTTCTGCACGGGGCAAGGACTCTAAGGGCGTGAGACATATATCTACGGCTTCCAGTCCACATGTGTTATAAACAACATTGCTGTGGTAATAAAGACCTAACCTTCTCAGGTGCTGATCACCCTGGCAGGATTGTAACTTGGTAAAGTAGACACACAAGAACATCATACCCACTGCTTCAGGCTCCCAGGCCCCTGCACAGACTCCTCCTGTTGCCACAGGGATGTGGAGACAGTAGACAAATGGTTGGTCTTCATAAAGTCCTCCCTTGGGCTCTTTCACAGACACCTGGAGTGGCCTGGGCACAGGGGTCCAGCCAGAGGAAACAGAAAATTTTACACTTTCTTTATGGCCTGCGGATGAAACAGAAGAGTCTGAAACATTGTTCTAGTGCTCAGACTTAGAGTGCACAGTGGCCCGCAGTGAGCCCGGGGCTACCTGCTCAAGCCACAGAAACGCCTGGGACTGCGGAGACAAAAGAGCAGGCTGGCAGAGGCTTTCAACTGGAAAGCTTCAGGTTTTGAATTAAAACCCTCCATGTACGGGGCCTCCTGGATGCCACGCACTGCGCCAATAGCTTTGCATATATTATATCTAATCTTTCCAGCCACCTTCCAAGTTGATTACTCCCCTCATTCTAGAACTGAAGAAGCAGAGGCTCCAGCTGTGATCTTTTTTGTCATGGTTCTTGGTTCTGGCTTAGTTCATTGAGCACAAGCAAAGGAATCCTAGTTTTGCAAAGCACAGAACTGGAAGGGATGTTAGAGATCATGGTCTACCTTCTGAGGATAATGATAAAAAAATAAATCCAAAGCCATAAGTGTAAATTAATTTGCTCAAACACACACAGCAGAGTGGATGCCTCTCCACCGGGTCTCTGGAATTGCAGTACGGACCTGTCTTTTCTTCTCCATTTAGCAGCAGGGGAACACAGAGATGAAATCGCTGTCTGGGATGAATGGAACAGATGTCAAGGCCTGCTTCAGTTCTGTCCCTAAGCAATGATCACTGTAGACATGGCAGTTTTCAAAGGGCTTTTCACTTGATCACCTCAACGTCTCTTAAAAATGAGGGAAAGGGAAGTTATGCAGTTCTGGAAGAAAAATTAACTTGCCAATGATGAGCATAGACATGTATGTCTAAAATGGTTTAAGCGCTTCAGAAGAAAGGTGCAGTGGGAAGTAAACTGCTTTGGTATTTTCTTCTTTTCACTGTCCTGTGATCCTATGTGTCACATATACCGTTAAAACTTCCCTTCAACTTTGTGATGGGTTTGCTTCTCTTGCTTCTTGATTTTTTCTCAAAATTCCTTGGAGTCCCAGTGGAAAGCTCCTTTAGAAAAGTCCCTGTCTTATCTCACAAAGTTTCTAGAGCATGTGTAGTCTATGTTTACTGCCATAAACACCACTCTCTTTGAGCCACACACAGGATTATCCAGACTCTAGCATCTTGGAACTGAGAAGGCGTTCTAAGTGCTGGGATCTGGTGTTTCAGCAGGTACAGGATAGTTAAGAAGCAGTAGAGCTGAAACAGATCATAGAGGCTATTTCAAATTATTATTTCCTGAATCAAATCCTACCTGTTCTTCATTTGACCAATGACCTTCAGAAATTCTCAGACAGTAAACCTGCTAGTAGAGTGATGGGGACATCTGCCAGGGCACAGAATAAGTAGTTTAGATGTTTGGTTCTACCTTTTACTTGGAATGTTCTTTATGAGCCAGTTTTATTTATGATAAGTGAATAAAATAATGGATGAACCCATGTTTTTAAATTAAATGAAATACAAAATTTACACACATTCGAGCTAGTCTTAGTCATTTTCCCTACATGTCAGCCACTGAATGGCTTGCTGGGCCCTGAATATGTCATGATATTGCCCACTTAAAATTATATTAACTTTTTCAATTTGCTATCAGTGCTTTACACTCTTATAAAAAAAGGTTGTAAACTTTGAAGTTAAACCTTCACATGTAGTTTCCTACTTACATTCAAAACCCCACTATAAGTTAAATGGGAAAGGGACCTTTATTCCCATTTTGCAGGTGAGGGAACGTAGGCAAATGCAGGTGATGTTACCGGCTCATGGTGACATTAGTGTCTTAGACACAGGGAATAATGGGTCTCCTGAATTACAGTCCAGAATCCTTCCTCTATACTATATAGGATAAGTGCCCAAACTCTCCCAGATTTGGAATATATGTTTAGCCACTAATGCTTTCTCTCAAGATGAAAAACAAAACAAAAACAATAATACCTGGCTGTTGCTTGCCACACCAAGGTAAGGACCACATACCTCAAGTGCACCCCTCCCTCCCTGCCTTGGCTCATTTTGTTCCTTCTGCTGGGAATGCCCTTTCCTCCCTTCTCCCAATAATCAAGTCCTCTTAATTTTGTTTAAGGCCAATTTAAATCATACATACTCTACACACATTCTCCAATTAACTTCTTTTTTTATATCTTCGTGGTGCCTTGCAGACCTTTGCTACAGCACGCTAGTGGGCACTATGTCATAGCCAAGTGTTTCTCATGAAATCGCAGAGGAAAGAGAACTTGGTGACCAACTAGACAGAAAGCTTGTTGAAATCTAGAATAAGGTCTTTGGTTTTATATATTTATCAGTTAATGCAGTGCCTGGAATATAGCAGTTGTAAAGGGGCTGAAAATTAGGCTAGTCCTAAAAAGAAACAAGGTAACAGGAAAAGAGTAATGTAGTAGAAATGGAAACCAGGATCCCATCCTTCAGATTTCCAAGTGGACTATGGATAACTTCCCCCAGTTCTGTGTATCTATACTAATAATAGAGGAATATGCAAATTGTCCAGGACGCCGCCACAGTAACAGTAATGACCAAACAGCAGGCTGCGTGGGATGACCAGGTTAGCAGGGGGGTTAGTGAGGGACAACCAAATGACTGAATAGCAGGCTGCTTAGGGTGACCAGGCCAGCAGGGGGGTTAGTGAGGGATAACCAAATGACTGAACAAGCAGGCTGCGTGGGGCATCCAGGCCAGCAGCGGGGTGGTTGGGGGTGACCAGGCTGGCAGGGGGGGGCAGTTAGGGGTTACCAGGCTGGCAGAGGGGGGAAGGTGGGGGCAACCAGGCCAGCAGGGGGGAAGTTGGGGGTGACCAGGCTGGCAGGGGGGCAGTAAGGGGTGACCAGGCTGGTGGGGGGAAATTAGGGGCAACAAGGCCAGCGGGGGGCAGTTGGGGATGACCAGACTGGTAGGGGGGAACAGTAAAGGGTGACCAGGCCAAGGGGCAGGCAGTTAAGGGTGACCAGGCTGGCAGGGGGGACAGTTAGGAGCAATCAGGCAGACAGGCAGGTGAGCAGTTAGGAGCCAGCAGTCCTGGATTGTGAGAGAGATGTCTGACTGCTGGTTTAGGCCCGATCACTGGGATTGGGCCTAAACTGGCAGTTGGACATCCCCCGAGGGGTCCTGGATTGAAGAGGGTGCAGGCTGGGCTGAGGGGACACCCCCTGCATGAATTTTGTGCACTGGGCCTCTAGTCTAATCATAAATGCTCTGAGGCTGGGGGACTCTTGGAACCCCTTTTGAGATGGGTTTACCAGCAGTTCCTATTCTGAGTGAGCGTGACTTCCCATAACTAATGCTTTGAGAGTGGAATGCTGGTGTCCCATCTACTGCTGCCTTAGCCCAGAGCTTTCCTTCTAAGTGTCAAAAACAACTTTAGATGGAAAAAATGAATTGACCAGGGGTTAGAAATCCATGAGTTCCAGAATAACATCAGTTTAGTAATGATTCATCTTACTTCATTGTTAATTTTGCAATTAAGCAAGAGTACTTTATATGCCTGAGTGGCCCATGGATTGTATCTTAATCAAATTAATGTGTCTATAACATAAAATGGATTCAGTGTGCAACTATTAGAATGATAAATGATGCAAAGCCCAAGTTTTCTGTCTCCTTTCTCTCTCCTCTCCCCACAAAACCCTCCAACACAAAAGGTCAACTGCCTGAGAGCCTGTTGTTTTGATAACTGCCATGAGATTCTATTGGTTAGAAATGTGAGAAGGCTGGCTACCTCCCCTCAACCCACTTCAAACCAACTGTATGTGTGTGTGACAGTGTGTGTGCAAGTTTGGATGAAAAAAAAATGTGGTTAATTCTTCTTGTTGTGCACTTCCTGCCACTGACATTTGTTGCTGCTGCTGTGTAATGAGGTTGAGGCTGAGTAGGAGAATGGGATGCAGATGACCTATATATTTATTCCTCAATTATGACTACCTTTCTCAACTACTATTCTCAGAAAACCTGGAAAGTAGAAGAAGGTCGTCAGGGAAACTAGCTAGACTTTGCATTTCCCTGAAGCAAACCCCTAGGTCTGTAGGGCATCTTAGTGGATAAGAAAAATTTAGAAGTATGATTTTGCTTAATAAAAGGACATGCATTTTAATATTACAAGTCAGAAATAATGGCTTGCCGGGAGCCGGTCCATGCTTGCTGTTTCAAGGGACCTGGCATATATGGCATACTGTTCTTAATATGTTTGCTCACCTTCTTGGCACTATGTGTTTTAACCAAGGTCCCTGAGAAAGGTTGTTTCCCCAGGTAGGGATTTTCCCCTGAAGTTAGGGAGGGAATAAAACCTCTTAACTAAGTGCCAGGCGGGTAATTAATCACTTTAACTATGAACAATCATGCTTAAGCTACATAATCTTTACTCCCTGGAATGGAGATAAGAAACGCCCTAACCTTTGGAATAGAGATTGATAGGATTGGAATCAACTGGTATAAATACAGATGTAAGAAGACAGAACTTAGAACACAGAACTCAGAAGGCAGAACCTACACACAGAACTTAGGAGACAGAACTGAGAAGACAGAACCTACACAGAACCTAGAGACAGAAGAGCTTCGCTGGAGAGAACATGGCAAAAGATCCTGGACAGAAACTGGCAACAGAACCTAGAGACAGAACCTAGCCAGAGAACCTGGCTGAAGAACCTAGAGACAGAACCTGGCTACAGAACCTGGATAGAACATGGCAAGAGAACCTGACTAGAACCTGGTGACTGAACCTGGCTGAAGATCCTGGACAGAACCTGGCTGGAGAACCTAGCGAGGGAACATGGCTACAGAACCTGGCTGGAGAACCTAGCTGGAGAACCTAGCAAGAGAACATGGACACAGAACCTGGCTGGAGATCCTAACCAGAACTTTGCTGGAGATCTTCAACAGAACTTGGCTGGAGATCCTGGCTGGAGATCCTGGCTAGGCTGCTGATCAACTGAACACTGTCTCCATGTCCTTCCTTCTTCGCCGACTCCATCCACGCCTTTGGGGACCCCTGGACCCGCTGGGGTTGGACCCCGGCAATGGCATTTAAAAAAAGTATTTGTGGTTTGAGTCAAAGATTATGACTTAAGTTTTTCTGGACTCTATTAATCAACTTCTATAGGGACTTCAGCAATAGTTTTTAAACTTATTCAATCCATTTTTCACAATGAGTGGGGTAATTTTTTAAAAAGTTAATCAGAACACATGTCTTCCCTGTTTAAAACCCTTCAATGACT